GTCTTGCTAGTATACCAGATGGGGCTTTATGATGAAAAGAGCGTAATCCCCATCCAGGCATCACTTCCATCACTTGTGCACTACAAAGCCATTCAGCATTTTTTTTATTGCAAGAAATAAGCTTTTTTTCAGTCCCTAACAGTTTTTTTTTTCTTTCCTCCTTTTGCTTTTACTCGATTTCTATCTTTATCTTCTCCTCATAGCCTTCCCTTTCTCCATCCCTACATATCCCTCCCCCCACCTAACCACACACACACTCTCCCTTTGCTCCTGAAGACTTGCAAATGTGGCATTAGCTAATATTCAGAGAGCCAGGCAAGCGATGCCTTTTTATCCGCCAGGGCAGCACTGATTGAGCTACAGTGTGTGCATTGGAAATGAGTGCTGCGCTGGGGTTGGCAAGCCTCTGATTGGTATTCAATATACATGTCACTACAGGACATGCGAGTTTGCTGCTATGGGCTTTCTCTCTCTCTCTCTCTCTCCATCTGTCTCTGTGTCTCTATGTCACCCTTTCTCATCCTCTCCTAATTCCAGTCATAGAAATGCCTTTCTTTGCCACTGCCACTTACAAAGAAGACAGCAAATTGGTCACAGAGGCAATTAAATGGCTGGGCCAGGCTTGTACTGGAAACGGGGTGGACTTATTTTTTTTCTGGCTTTCATGTTATGTAGCATGGCTTTGAGACGGTCAACTTCATCTGGATGGATTCTCTCCCCGCACTGCCTGGTAATCGGCCACGGTAGATTTTGTAGAAAGCTGTCTCTACTTGAAAGCTTTATTGTGAATTATAGCACCGATGTAGGTCTCGCTTCAATTGCCCACCCTTTCCCTCACTTCATTTAATACAATTATCTCTCTTGCATATCATCAGTAAACAACGTAATTGGTACGTTCACATTGCATACTTTTGCATACTATCTTTCCATAATCTAGTAGCTATAAGTGGTGGTCTGCAGTGTTTTTTTTCCAAAAGGAACGTGTATACAATGGCTCCTCATTCTTTCAGTTGCCTGTTTCCCCCGTTGTTAGGGCTTCACTGTGAGCACCAGGGGAACCGAGGATTTCTTTCAGTCTTTGACTTACATCACGCTTGCAGAATATGTCAGCGATTGGACTTGTATTCCCACAATGCGCAGTGTTCATGATAACATACAGAAGTGGTGCATGGCTTAAGCACACGTTAGATATCCTCACTGGGACCTGAGCAGTGACGCACGTCGGAGCACCTGTTTATGAGTTGCGGATTTGCTAGTGTGATAATTACATACAGAAATAAAGTAATGACCACCATTTAGAAATACGAGCAGTATGTTTTTCACTCCGTAGCCTGAACTAAGCATCAACATCTAACCTGTGTTTAGTCACTGCAGATCAGAAAACCAGTCACATGAAGTATCATGAAAAGGCTTGAGGAGATAGGAGCCCTGCACTCCATCTCAGTTTTGTGGGAAACACATGAACCTGTTTCCAGTTCAAACTTCCTCCTTTCCGCTCCCTTCAGGAGAGAGAAAAAGAGAGCGGGGTGGATTTAGTGTTGCTGGTGAGTCAATACTCCACTCCAGCCCGGGACACAATCCCTCCTCTCCTGCTGAAATCTAAGGGCCTGTCTGTTAGTTCCTTCTTGTGGGCCTCGTTCCAGGTTTGCCTTGGCCCTTTTCCAGGTGTGGGAAGTGAAGTGTAAACAGTTTACAGATCTGCTGTGGCTGGGGAGGGCCAAGGGCTTTAGCTGGGAGGAATGTAACCTGAACAACCACTTCACAGGGAGCCAACGCTGCAAGATGGAGCCTTCATGCATATTGTGTCAGGGCCTAACAGGAAACTGACCCAGCAGTTCAAGGGAGAGCCGGCTGGTGAGGAGGCCCGCTGATGTCAGCGATCACGTGGGGCGTTTCGGGCAGAGGAGGCTGCTTGGCTTTTACCCCATAAGCTATCACTCTAGATACTTCACAGTTGATTGTAGCTGGTTGGTTTTACAATAAATGTTGCACCGTGAGTAAAGCATGGCCGTCCTATACGGAAGCGACCTCTGCTATATGTGTGCGGCTCTTTCAGTATCTCAGAATTCGATACGATTTTGATTCATGGGCCCACAGTTCCACCCTATATTAATTGTCAAAACTATTCCTCGTTCAACATGTATCCCCAATCCATTGCATGTTGATAGTGATTGAAGGAAATACTTCATCTATAATAATAAATAATACACGTCAACACCCAAAGGTAAAAGATGTTGTTTAATCATGTTAAACTTAGTTTTACTCAAACGAGTGTGTTCAGATTTTGTATGGAGCAACAGTCACAACAGAGTGGTGCATCTTGTTGCAAGAAGCTAATTTATTTTTGTGTGACATTAGTTCCTCTTCAACAATAATGCATGTTCTCTGTGCAATCTACAGTATCAAAGCAGGGTTAGTGGTAACTATACTCTTTGTCTAAGTAGTCGATGTAGTCACTGTGATGTCGCCCGTTGATTTTGGACAACGGTTTTACATTTTGCTATAAAGCAAATGACAGATGATTTGCTTGTACACCTGATGGCAGAAAAAGGCACAACATCAGATCTCCACAAATGACAAAATTCAAATCAGAGCTGTGGGCGGCAATTTAAATGTCTGACACCAAGCTGGGTTAACGGTATTTACAAAGGACTACCGACCTTGCCAGGAAATATTACAAACTACATTTTAAATTTGAATTATTTAAATGGAGTCTTGCCTTTTTGTTTATACCTCCAAAAATACGCACAAGTAGCAATGGTGCATGTTTAGTCCTGAGATGGTCGTATCACGTCGTATTCACCATGCATGTTTTAAATTGCCTGGTGTTCCATGATGTGCTCATTCTGTTGAGAATGAATGCAGCTGAGCGCCGCTGTTGCTGTATAGCCCCAAAATTCAGAGTAGGAAAATGAGGTGCTGGCAACAAAGAGCTTTGAGGAAGTAGACACGTATCTCCAAGGACACATACCACCCAGCAGATCAAAGGACCTAGAGGACGTGTTTGATGGGGAAACCACACTGGTGTTCAAAGCATTGTAGTCCTGCATCTCACCAGCCCACCAAGGTCCAGGGTAGAAATTCGAACACACCCGCCTGTCAGTTAATTGAAGCCTCATTGTGTCCCCCGGGGCACAGCAGACTAGTCTTTGGAGAGCATCTTTGTCCTTCTGCATGCTCGTCATTAATTATTATTCCTCAATCACATCCTCAATGACACTGTTTTATTGTCTGAGTGTGTTTTTATGTCTTGTCACCAATCGCATGTATTTGGAGAAGTAGCTGATGTTTGAATGAGATTACAGCTCTCCACACACTCACTCATATCATATCGGCCTACCATTTGGGATGTTGTGTGTTATCTGAGTTGAGATGTGGTTGTGAGTGTTGTGCATTTGAGCGGGGGAGATGGGGGGTATTTGGAGGGTGTAGCTTTGTTTGTCTGCATAACAACAGAATGTAAAGTAGAGGACGTGATAGGGTCACCAGATGAGGTTTTGCTCGCTGTTAGAAAGTTATGGTATTTGACAAAGCATAATTGCATATTTTATTGTAGAAAGACTTGCACACAAAGTCAGAGTAGTCCTGTCATTCCAGAGGCATGCCCCCCCCCTCCCCTGAGACAGGCAATCTTCCAGGCAGACAGGAAGTCAGCCCTGTCTGCGCAAACTTCGCAGTGATGAGCGACGACAGCTGATCTGAGCTCAGCCATGTTTCTTCACATGGCAGATGTGGTGTGCACTGTAGAGTACACACTTGATCTCTGTGAAATATACACACTCTAGCGTGAAATAGGTGTATTTGACATACACAAACCCATGTATGTTTACCAACTTGTCTTCTTTTGCCAAGGAGGGTTGGATGATGCTGCATTCTGCCAGCAGTCCAAATTAGCTTAAAATCCTGACTAATGGCATCAATTGCACTGATGCTATGGCATGTCTGCAGCCCGCAGCCCTTTGTCTGTGGTCGTGTGTTGTACCCCAGTAGTTGACACCTGCTCCTGTTTGGGTTCAAAGAGCAGTACTTGAACAGATTGCCTTCCTCATAACGGTTTATTGCCATGCCACACTACATTTCTACAGTTTGCCACTCGGTCTTTGTCACCTCCTATCAAATGATTGGTTAGGACAAAGGGAAATGACGTGCATTCCTCCATGATCACAAGAGCTATTTAAATATGCTCTTTAAATGATTATGTGGTTGAGCCGGGAGCATCCAATACATTTTTCACAAGAGCACTGTCTGCTATTTACATTCCTAAAATGTATGCAGTTTACTTATGCAGCTGGACGGCCCGAACCAAAGCGTTCATTCCTGGGGACCAAGTGCAGGCAGAAAGAAGGAGGGGGGCCTGGGACAGAAAAATTCAAAGCGTGCGGGGTCAAGCTCGAGGGTCACTCTCTCACTGCCTGCGTGAATACATAACCGCCAATTGACTTTCTAATCAGGTGTGTCTTCATAAAATATGCAGTTTAATAATATACGTTATCCTGGGTCCTTTTTTGTTTTCGCCCTGTGTTTTAGTCTTGACGCATCTAAAGCCGGCGGCCTATTAAATAATGATGGGGCTGCTGCAGCCTGCCTCCCTTGGCCTCTGAAAAACAAAATGACAGCCAATCATTTCCCTCAACCTCTCGCTCACCAAAGCCCCTTACCGGCTGGATTTTCCTCTGATTGGATCAAAGCTTTGACCTGTGTTGCTAGGTGACCTTTCCTGATCCCACCTATGCCTCCAGAGGAGGGAACCTTGCTGGGGCACCTGAGAATTACCCCGTCGGTGGCATTGTTCGGCGGCTGTCACCGAGCCCTTGTCTGTTTGATGTCACCTCTGACACCGGCCTCTGTAGCCATCGCCAGGGAGATCTGACGCCCTTGCTGGTCTGTGAATAATAGAATATATCTACCTGTCTTCGACCACCGCTGTCACCTGTGCTCCTTGTGATGAAATGTTCCCATGCTTATCTTCAGGGGTGATGTGTTCTCCCTGTCTGTTGCAGGGCTCAAAGCGAGCGAGCGATCCGCGTCGGCGTCCAACCATGGGAGAGAGCTGTCGGCAAGGTGGCCCAGCTGGCAGTGCCCAGGGCTCCCAGGGGCCCGAGAGCGGCCTGACGTGGAGAGTCAAGGGGGCTGAAGGATGACAGGGGACAGCTGGAGAAGAGGAAGACTCTAAGGACCAAAGTTGACGGCGAGAGAGCCATGGATCAGGAGTACGGTTCAGCGTCTTCTTTTCCGTCTGTACGATCACGAAAAACCCTTTGGGACTCCCTGCAAGTTTGTTTTTGTTTTTTGTTTTGAGCTTCTTATACATCTCATGTAATGTCTAAATATCCATGTCTACAGTAATTTGTAATATTGAGTCCACAGTACTCACCGGTGCAGGAACCTTTTCCTTTTCAATTAGTGCGAGCGGTCTAGTCAATGACGCTTCCTATGTCTTGTCCTCATGCCGGTGGTTGCTGACTGACCGCGGGCCTGTCGGGCTTACTTCAGCGATCCCTTTTACATGTGCATCCCTGCAAATTAGGTTTTGAGGGTCTGGCAGGGGCCGGTGTATGCATGGATAGAGGGCGGACTAGAGGACTGTGAGAGAGCTGTGGTCTGGCCGACCTGTCGCTGTTTCGGCTGCTTTCACTCCTGAGATTATCCAACAAGATGGATGCCAGTTGGCATATGATGCAATGTTTAATTTTTCTGGTTTGAATCAAAATCCCCACTCGATGGATTCACATAGTTTAAAGGCATATTTAGGGAAGGGTTCACGCACAGTCTATGATATCAGTGATCATGAAAGGCTCACAGATGGGTGTATGGTATCGTTGTGCAGGAGATAAAGATGGTGGCTGTGTGGTGCTTTCCACACAGTCCTCATGTAGCAAATGTGTGTGTCAGGCATCATCTGCTGTAGATTATTGTAGTATTGGAATGTCTCTCTGTTGAACCGGCCCCCACCATTCTGACACCATATGTTACCCTTCTGATAACTGTGATGTAGTCTGTTTATGACCTACCATATCTTTCAATAACTCTTTTTGTTTTGTGAAGCCTTTTTTTTTCGTGGTTGGAACAACCCATAGATCAGTTTTTTAAAGATCTACCTCCAAAGGCATATAACAAGAAGCCCTGAGTTGCATACAGCGGCCTTTTTTTTGCAACCAAAGGTGTCATTAGAGGTTGGAGCTCAACAGAATGCTGAAGACAAACCGTCTAACCAATCACTACGTTATGTGTATTAAGTGCATTAAGTTGTAAGACAACAACGTGCGAAGGACCTCTCAATTGCACGGCGTACTCTAAATGGAAGCATATGAGAAAAGCGCTGCGTGGAATTAGACTAGGAGAAGTAGGATCATTTTCTTCTGTACAATAAGCCCCATGCTGGCCATTAGAAAGAATGCAAGTTAAGGAACTTCATCCTAGGCTTCCGAACCTGAGGTTTCCTCCTGCTTGTAGTAAGATGAGCGCCACACAAATAATCCCGGTTTATGCTCTGCTTGATATCAGTGTATGTAATATCAGTGTATATAATATAAAACTCAAAAACGTCCTGTCTTCTTTCTCTCATTTTTTATTTATTTCCCTCTTTACACTTCTGCCTCGCTCTTTCTCTCCCCCATTCTTTCTACCTACACCCTAAAGCTAACCAACCTAAACCCTTCTTTTTGGCTCACCGGCTGGAAATGCAGTTCTCATTCCTAGAATGCACACAGAAATGTTCAACAATCTGGCATCAGCACTTCTTAAAAAGGCTTGCTGCCACCGCTGCTCCTTCAGCACAGCCAATCCCCCCCCCCACCCCCCACAAAAAGAAAGTCCTGGACAGAGAAAGAATGATGAGAGTGGAAAGAACTAAATCTGCTAAGTCCCCCAAACCCAGGAATGTATTTTCATTAAAACAAGTTTGTTTGAAGGGATTGGGAAGGTCGATCAGACCCAATAGCTCAACGTCTGTACTGGACTAAACGCATTTGAGAAGCAGAGAATGAGGATACATTACATTACATTAATCTGCTGCAGGCACAAATAAACCCGGAGGGGGGGGGGGGGGGGGGTTTGGCTGCAGGACTTGCTAACAGCAGTTTGCTAAGGAGAAAGCTCCTGTTAAATCCCTGTTTTACTGCTCGAGTAGTATCTCTATGTGAGAGCCTCTGTCACTATAGCTAAAGCCCCCCTCTCTCCAACGTCTCTTCGTTTCTCCCTGGCCGGTCTCCTGGGGAGGTAATTACCAACCACAGGAACACTTTCTGCAAGAAGCTTATTGTAACACACTCACCTTCCACTGTCTCAAATGTGACTGGCTAACACAGACCTACATTATACTCCCCACCCCCTCTTGTCGATCACTTTTTAGTTGGAAAAGCCATCAGGAACGAGCAGATTACAGTTGTACAGAACTCGGACTCAAAGAATACAGACTGACAAAAAACGTGAAGTTGCAGTTTTGCTTTAGAATAAAGGATTGAAATTAAAGCTTTTTGTAATGCTGTTTTTTATCCAATTCATCAACGAATTAATGGTTTATCAAAAAAATCATTAGTTGCAGCCCTAGAAATCTTTCAGCTTTATCACCCAAAGTGTGAAACAAACTTAAGAGGAAACAAAAAAATATAAAAACATAATAATTCAAAGTGGTATTACAGATCAAAAGGCTGTAACAAATAGTCAAAGCTTAATTTGCAGTGTTGACAATAATTAACTAAGCATATAAAACTAGAAAAACTAGCTAGGCCCATTGATATTATGCCTGACTTAGAATCAAGTGGTGGCTGAATAGGATTATTTTAGACTGGTATCTTTTCCAACTGCTCCAGGGTGTTGTAAAGTCAAAAGGTCCATGGATGTAATATCTTCAAAGCATTTTTATCTGACAAAATATTCTGCTTTCATGTATATTTCTTGGTGCTTAACCTTTAAAAAATGACATTTTCACTGAGGAAAAAAAACTGCCCTGTGTCCTGCATGCCACATGCACCTGTATTAACAGGGATCCCAGCTAACTGCGCCATGACATTTTATAACTACAACAAAACTAAATCACGATAATTTCTACTAAAATGTTCATGTTAAATATTGATTTATGTGTGGCAGCTTCTCAAGCGGTGTAGTAGTTTATCATAGTTGGGCCTCAGAGTGACAGACTGTATGTATTTCTTTACTTCACTACCAGTACTTTTATTACTACCCACAGTGTACATACGATATGCAAGTAAGTAAGTCCATTTAGAGTCCCTCTGAATTATATTTTTCTATCTATTCATTTTCTATTTCTGTTTCAAACCGCCAGGGTTACAGCTAAGAGATTGTCATACACACCCTCGTGTCCACAAGAAGATGAATAAAGCTTATTCTATTCTCTAAGAATACATTCAAGCAACATATACATTCAATGAAATACATATATGTTATCATGTCATATTCACACAGTTTGCTGTCCCTTCAGTAACTTCTGCTTTTAGCCTTAATTAAGAGTTACATTTCTTTGTATTTGTCAAATATATATGTATATATATATAAATATTGAGATACATTATAGTGTGTTTGACTCTGTTGCCAGTCAGTCACTTAGTGATTTTGGCTTAAGCTGGGCTGAACACAGGTACAGAGTAACCCTTTAAGCAAATTTAAGACCAATAGTCACAGATTTAAACAACTCTTTTAATAAGAGTGATAAGAATTAAAGATTTAGAAGTTCAACGGAGGAAGACACACAACAGTTAATTTAATTGAATCGAGTTCAAATTTCTTAGGAAAGAAAATGAAGGCAAATTATTATATTGTCAACTTGATATGAGACTCAAGTTATTAAAAGCAGAATGGTCCGTTTAAGACCCGACCCAGGTGTTTCCAATGGTATTTCACCATGGGGCAGTGTCATTAGATGCTGTACTTTGGCAGATGCCTCTCTCCCCCTCTCTGTTTCAGCACTTTGTTATCTGTCTCGCAACTCCCTGACGTTGCATATTATCCCTTAACACGGAAGGAATGTATCAATCGATATCTTTCTGTGGTTTCAGTAATCCCTGCCTAAGTGAAATAGGCTGCAGAGTTCCACTTTTTCTACAAGCTGACTCGGTCAGATAAACAAACCCACCAGGCCTTTCTGTTACTCCTCCCTTACTGCGCTGCCCTTGATCACCTCAGGGTGGTGGCTGCACACCGGGACCCCCCCCCCTAGATTAAAAGAGCTTATTGTGCGCTTGATCCACAGGAATGAAATCTTACATGGCAATAAAAAAAAAAAGCATATGTAATATCACATGTGTGCGAACGCATTACCAAATAACCATACACTCACATATTTCGAGGGGAGACGTCATCAAAACATACGATATCAATCCGTGATCTTCACGAATAAAGATACTGAAAAAGCCAAAACATTGGAGGGGAGGAGGAATGTCACCAACACATGCTGAGGAGTACCCCTCATTGAAACCAGATCCTCAGCGTTTTGTGTGTGTATGTGGGGGTGTGAGTGTGTGTGTGAATGTGTGTGTGTGTGGGTTTCTCGGACCACTGGCTGTGATGAGGTATAAGCCGACACCTTGAAGTCGCGATTGCTGCCTTCAGTGGGCCGCAATGTGCGCGCCAGATGAGTCCGGCAATCCGCTCAGTATCACGACCACGTACAGTAAAACTCCCACAAGACCTTCTGAGACACTTCCTGTCAATCTCCCTCTGTCTTTCTCCTGCTCGCTGCCTCCGCCCACTGTTGCGATGGGGTGCGGGCGGGCGATGGAGGGCGTTCGGAGGCTGGCAAAGAGAAGGACGGGCTGGAAGATGGACGGGCGTGGGAGACAGATTGGGCAGTGGAGAAGCACAGGGATGAAGGAGAGTGAGGAGGAAGCAGAAAAAAGACAATTCTTCTTTTGTTGTCTTTTCTTTTAAAAAAATATCTTTCGTCCCTGTGCTTGGGTGATGGCACTGCTACCGGCACGCGCACGCACACACACACACACACACACACGGACGGAGACACACAATCCTTTTGCTTGCTCTACATGGCTATCGCCATGGTAACGAAATGTACAGAACACAATCGGGGTGGTGTATTTTTAAGTTTCAAAGGCATGGGAACGGGGACGACATAGGGAGGAAGAGATGAGAACGGGGGAGAAAGGGTGAGAGCTGAGATTTACAGAGAGAGACAACAAGAGTTACAGCAGTCTAAGTGCAAGCAGATGGACTTGTGATTGTGTGCGTGTGTGTGTGT